TTATTTGATGACGTGGAGCTCACATCGGCCCATCGGCCTCATATTCTGGTCATCTTTATTTGATGAACCAGACATCATATTATGGACGGTCGCTCGACCCATCCCTTAGTCATCTTTATTTGATGACTAGGACTACTGATCATGACGAGCTACCCACATCTATGGATCGGCCTCTGCCATCCCCTCGGCAGACGGACACCGCTGCAGCTCCACCTCTAGGCCGAAGGGCTCGCACCTTTTGTTTCGTTCTGGGGGCATCCGATGTACTCTTTTTCCCTCATTAGGATTTTTTCCCACAGGGTTTTTCCTAATGAGGTTTTTAACGAGGCATCTCCCCATTGTGGATCAAAAGGTGTCAACCCTCGGCCCCCTGTTGCAGACATCATCAGACATGCATTACTCTACTCCTCTTCACCTCGTTACACTCGCCTCAAGGAGTGGGGGACTGGGAGAGCGGGGGACTTAGCGCCTTCGCTACCAAAGAAGCAGAAATTCAAAATTTTTTGCAAGGATTGCCACTCGCACCGACGACATCATCATATCACATACATATTCAGTTGCCACATCGGCCAGTACATATACATAGCTCCCCGGCCTCAGGACCGGTGGTGATGGTCTCTGGCCTGCGACCTTCGGCTGAGGATTTTCCCACAGGGTTGCCTCAGCCAGGGCTCGCCAATGGGAACGGATCATCGGATTGGGAATCCGGGCGAGGCGCTTCGGCGACGACAGCGGTTTACTCACCAGACGATGACAGATCAGCACACAGTTCTACTCTCTTTCGCCTCGAGTACTCTCGACTCAGAGAGTGGGGGACTCCTGATAGAGTATATAGACTCGGACCCCCAGGCCTCACGACAGCGGCCCGGACAGCGGCCCACATATGTTCAGTAGATAGCATTTATTTCCTTGTACACTACATTTATTCATATGTACCCATTAAAATAGACTAGACACTATTTATTAGCCATTTATTGGTCTTTTATTGTAACTGGGCCAGCCAGGCCCAAGCCTGGAAGCGCAGCCCTCTTTTCTCCTATAAATACTCCCTATGGGAGCCATGTAAGGGGGATATTTTGGATGGTTGATTGGAAATTCATTTATACATATCACTTTATCTCTCTAGCTCTCCCTTCTCTCTAAGAATTAATACTCTATCACATACATAGTCCAAGTATACCTTCTTATTCATTTAAGAAAAATATACTCATATTAATTAATAAATTAATCTATTTTTCATTAATCATATAATATTTCCATAATCCATATTTAGTACGGATAATCACAAGTTCACATATCTTTTCATATATTCATGTACTAGATTACTCTAGTTAGTTTCATGCATGGTCCAAATATACCTTCTTATATATTTGAGAAAAATATATTCTTGATTAATTAATAAATTAATCTATTTTTCCATTAGTCATATTCACCATGATTAATCATGCGTTTTAATACATTTAATCATTTCTCAAATCATGGTTATGATTTTGTTTAGGTAATCCCACGTTTCGAACCAAGAGTTACAAGACACGTAGTCCTCCAAAAGTACCCACCCTCTAATATGTCAAGTTACTCATTATTATCCGTCATCCCATATTTTGGGTTCTTAAAATATTTATATTTCATCTGTTATTAATTCGTAGCCTTCCGAATTATTATCAGTCCGATGATTTATGATTCACAATTATCGGATAGAGACCCTGTCCCGCTTGGCCGTCTAGTTGTCGTTCCTTATATCACTGGGGTCCATGACCCATCCCTACTATCATAATAATATCATTTTGGTAAACATTAATATTTTATAAATAAACTTAGAATATCACGAGAGGTTCCACGTCAAAATTAATAACCCTTTATTAATTTAAGACATAATTTTACTTTCTCATTTATCAAAACTATTCTTAGTCTTGATTTACCTTCTTCAACCCAGTACTTGATGAAAAAAATTTCTCACAGTGAAATTTGGGTCCGGTGTTACACTTAAAAAAGAGAAAAGTATTGTCAACAAAAAATAGATGAGACACCCTAGGTGCCCCATAACACACCGTCACCCCATGAATTACTTGTGCCTGCTCTGCCCTTCGTAAAAGAGCACTAAAGCCCTCAGTCACCAGAATATATAAATAAGGGAATAACGGGTCTCCGTGTCTCAGTCCACGCCCCGGAATAATAGGACCCAAAAAATCATTATCAAATTGGATAAAATAGTGCACAGTTCTGACACACTCCATAACAACCTGAACCCACTTCGCCGCAAAAACCATTTTCATCAGAACCCCTTCTAAATAATTCCAATCAACACTGTCATAGGCTTTACTCATATCAAGTTTAAGAGCAACAAAACCCTCCTTCCCCTCCATCTTCCTTTTAAGAAAGTGTTGTGTCTCAAACGCAACAATAATATTATCTGTAATAGACCGTCTTGAAATGAAAGCACTTTGACTTTCACCCACAAGTCCATGCAAGATAACTTTCAATTTGTTAGCAAGAACTTTAGCAAAACAAAGGCATCCACATCGTTCATCGTCCTTGCCAGGCTAACTATGTAGCACACCATCTTGCTCAAAAGGGACTCGGAAACCCTAACAACGACCCAATCTTCTTCACTGCAACAGATCTACCCACAAGGGCGAAAAAATCTTACTTCGAGAATAAGAGAGGAGCTGCATTGTTCAGAGACACTGGCTGATAACCGTAACCCTTCGAAGAAGAACTATGAAGACGAAATGGAAGAAACGATTAACTCTCTCTCTACCATATTTCTGGTGTGTAACCCTACTGAACGACCGATATTCCTTGGACAGATTAGCTTCATAATCAGACTGGGTCATCCCAGTTTTGTACTCTTCTCTTGGGCCGTAGAACCTATTGCATCGCTGGAGAAAATCTGTTCTACATTACAATAGCTTTTCTTTTGCAATTTCATCTCGGTTGCTTGTTTTTTTATTTCTTTTCTTTCCTCCATTTGGGAACTGATTGATGTGAGTTTTCTCGCACTTAAAAATGTAGTAGAATAGTGGTTGAAAGTACGAGTATCGTCTCCACATGGACGGACAAAAGGGAATTAAAGATTAACTAAATTCAGCGATTAAAAAGAAATAAAATAAAATAAAATGCAATTGTGCGAGATTGATTGGTGAATTAAAGTTAAACTAATGCGAATGAACAATAAAATGAAAGCTTGGTTTCTTTCTAATTAACAACGAAGGGAACAGGTAGTGTTGGACTCGGGCCGGGCGGCCCGAACCGGAACCGGCCCGGCCCGGTTACTGTGTGAACCGGCCCGGCCCGGTGGCCCGGTCCACCGGCGGTTCGGGTCGAACCGGCCCGGTGGTTCCCGGTTCCGGGCCCGGGCCTTCCATATGGTGAACCGGCCCGGCCGGTTCGGACCCGGTCCGGGCCGGATTTTTTTTTTTTTGAATTGTTTTTTTTAAATTTTGGGTTGGAATAGGTATTTTGGGCCATTTGAGGTGGTTTGGGGTTGAGGGGGAGGGGTAGGGGATTAAATAGGAGAACAAAAAAAAATTAATGGACCGGTTCGGCCCGACCCGGTTTGGCCCGGAACCGGAACCGGCCACCGGCGGTTCGGGCCTGGGCCTCCCCTTTCCTGGCCCGAGTCCAGGTATAGGAACAGGGATTGATTCCGGGGTAATCAGATTTCTGGCAGACAAGGCCTAATTACATGAAAGTTGGTTTAATTGAGCCTAACTAATATAATCATTACTAAGTTCTTACTACTCTCGCGGCGTAGAGTACAATAATTTAGGGGACCAGGCTGATCTCTCATGCGACAGGATCCTAAATTATTGTCAAGACGAGCAAGCTTACGGCCCCTTCATCGCTACTAATCTCTTAGCGAACGATTAACTGTGTGTGAAGGTGTCCTAGAACAAATTAGATCTCTGTTAATTTATTCTACATGCAATTGTAATTCTAGCGCGCGTTCTAGGTTACAAAAGATATCAGTTAAATTATTCAAACACAAATTAAACGACATTCGTGCAATTAAACCGACAAGAATCTAGCCATCCATCATGATCAACCCATTCATCAATCCTAAATCCCTAATTAAACTACTCACAATTCATAATTGAAAAATCAATAGAATTGGGAAGAATAGAAATAATTGTCATTAATTAAAAAGATGAACTTACAAAGAATCCCAGGTTTTTGGAGTAAAATAGCGTAAAAACGGTGTTAAATTTGTCTCTAGGCCTCTCTGTAATGTTCGTAACCTCAAAACAAGAGAAGGGATGCCTTATTTATAGAAAACAGATTAATCCGGGTTGAATTAGGGCTGAAACGCGTCCAGGCACGGCGTGCCTAAGGCCTAGGCACGACCGTGCCTATAGAGCACACCCGCGTTTCTTCCCATTCCAGCGACCCGGAACATTTTCCTTCTATAGGCACGACCGTGCCTCAGGGCCAGGCATGGTGTGCCTAGGGCCAGGCACGACCGTGCCTGCCCTTTTTTTCTTCATACTTCGTATTTTCTTGCTCCAAATGCTCCTGGATGCATACCGAGTGGATCTAAATGCTCTTTCTTCATCAAAACTTCGCCGTGAATCACCCGGTGACCTCCAAAACTCTCAAATCTCTTTCGAATGTTCTCCAACTCTTACCGATTGCCTCTCAAGCGCCGATTGCCAAACTCTAACTTCTTCGAGTTGACTCCAAATACAGCAAAACTCGACCCAACGCCTGATAATCACAACTTCAGCTAAAATTGAGACTTGCAACGCCTTAATGCAAGGAAAACTATCAAAATCCGACCCCAACACGCATCAAATGTGTGTTGCAATACGAACTTATCACTGATGTAAACATTATTCACTCAAATAAAAGTTCTGTATTTAAAAAAAAAGCAAGAACTTTAGCAAAAAATTTATAGATCACGTTACATAAAGCAATCGGCCTCTAATCCCCCATGCAATCGGGTTTATCCTTCTTAGGAATTAGCACAATATTAGTGGAATTTATGTGACTAGATAAAGTACCTGACTCGAACATCGTTCTACACAGGGCCGAGATATCCGGACCAATAACATCCCAATAGGCCTGAAAGAAGGCTGGATTCATCCCGTCAAAACCCGGCGCTTTGTTCGGATGCATATAAAAAATAACCGCCTTTACCTCTTCTGGACAGATGGGCTTCAAAAGAGCTAAGTTTTGCTCGGCCGTGACCTGACAAAACTCCCCCCTAATATGTTTCGGCTGGCCATGATCATCGTTCTTGAATAGCTCGTCGAAGTAGTTATGCACAATCGTGCTCATGTCCCCTCGATCTGTTATCCAGACACCATCATTCTGTCGCAATCCTGCCATAGTGTTTCTCCTCCTCCTCTGCTTGATCGCGTTATGAAAAAACCGGGAATTAATATCCCCTTCTTTGAGCCAAAATTCCTTGGCCCGCTGCTTCCAAAACATATTCTCCTTTTCGAGAAGAATCTGAAGAACCAAATGAACTCTCAAAAATTCATCAAGACTAGCTATGTCCTCTTTGCCTCTCAACCACACATGCCTTCTTTTACATGCAAGAATCTGCTGCCTGAAACCTCTCTTCTTTCCTCTATCCCAACGTAAAAGCTCATATCCACAGAAAGAAATCCGCTCATTTATGTGCATGTGAGCAGCCGCAGCCCAACTAGTGGTAACAATCATATGACACTCCTCTTCCTTGACCCAATTATTCTCAAACTTGAACCGTCTAATCCTCCTGTGATTTGGAGAACACTTTGTTTCCAAAACAAGCGCCATGTGGTCACTGGCTGGGACCTCCATTGATTTGGCCTGAGCCCCCGAAAAAATATTACACCAATCATCATTGACCAGAAACCTGTCAAGTTTTACCTCCGCCTAGTAGTTTGTATTTTTTTCCCTATCCCAGGTCCACTAATATCCTGAGAAAGGGAAATCGTGCAGACCACAACTGTTGACCGCCCGCCTAAAGCCACGCAAACGCCATGGAGGATGGGAAACACATCCCTTCTTCTCTGAATCGTGAAGAATATCGTTGAAATCCCCCATCATCATCCACGGACCACGAACATCATCGGCCAAATCCTCCATCAAAGCCCATGTCTCCCTCTTCCTGTTTGTTTCGGGGAAGCCAGTTAGACGCCAAGTAGCATTATTTGATTTCAACATGACTCGATAGTCAACAAAAGTCTGCCCTACTCGAACCGGAGTAACTTCGACATCATCCCTCCAGCCCATAATAACACCTCCCGCCGTACCTACGCTGTATGAACCGCATGCGTCAAGAAACCCTTGACACTGAATGACCTCTTTCGCTCTTTGACCTCTTTGTCAAGAAAACCGCATGGTCTATACTCGGTTATAAGGTCAGCAAAACATTGTCTCGTGGCAGGGTTATCAAGACCTCTGCAGTTCCAACTCAACAAACTCATGTCCCAGAACCACCAAAGAAAACTACGATGCAAAATCACAGCAGAGAGATTGCAGCCACGTCCAGAGCACCACGCCAATCCTCACGATCAAAGCCAGCAACCTTCCAGCGGATATTCTTCTGGTTTCGTCTTCCAAAGATCAATCATCGACCGTAATCCACGGGGACGGTCCCGACATATAAAGGGCCCTGTTCAAAATTGAATATGAGGCCCTAAAATATAAAACAAAATATTAATAACAAAATAACTGAAATTTCATATTCGGTCTTATGTTATGTTTTTAATACTCAGACTAATATTTATAACTCTAGACTAGAAGTAACGTATGCTAATGCGTTCAGATTCGTAGAGAAGAAGTCGTTAAAAATTAGATTTAAATTATCAGACTTTTTTAGAAGCATTCTTGAATAAATAGCAAAGGTGCAATGCTAAGTCGGTTCTTATCCTTGTCTCTCTAAATCCCCATCCATATTGGGAATTGGATTTTATACCCCGTAAGTAATTAGTTTTTGAAGAAAAGGGCTTTAAGAACCGGATTATTTATGTTTTGTTTTATGTTTATATATAGAGCCTTATTGCCTTAAGAGGAATGAAGGGATGTTTTTTTTTATTTATGTATTTAGACTAGCAAGCTGTCTCGTTATAGTTCCTCGTTATGTGTTCAAGGCACTGGTACTAACATTTTCTACCCAATCAAATTATAGTTTAATGCCACGTTTTCACCCTAGTGGTATATGTACAGTAAATGATTTTATTTGCATTTTGAAATTGGCTTTTTTTAACCGAACTCCTACATGCAATTCCACAAATGACCAGCAGTGCAAATAGAACATTCGGAGTAATATAATTGACCAAATGATTATCCCCAATACTTAACATATTAAAAATATTAGGCCCTCTCCTGATCATGGGCCCTGTTCGGCCGCACCTCCTACACATGGTCAGGGCCGGCCCTGGTAATCCAAGCCCGGACGTGACCCAACTGCTGGGAAAGAAACCTAGGGACGACCCTAGACAGACCGCTTCTACCACAATACATAAATCTATCTTATAAATCTATCCAACATGTTTTCCATTTCACAACATGCATGTATATAACTGAAAACCCATGTATACATATATGAAAAAATACAAGTATATCCTTGTACAATTCAATATTTACGTGTTGAAAAAAGATTGGTGTACACAAAAATTGTACAAAAAAGTTGTACACTTGTCTGTCCCTCACAGACAAATTGTCTGTCCGGAAACGAGTTGTCTGTGGAAACGAGTTGTCTGTCCACAAACAACTCGTTTCCGGACAGACAACTTGTCTGTGGGTGAAAAACAAGTGTACAACTTTTGTGTACACCTAGCTCTACTCTTACGTGTTCCCCTTAAGTTTCGCATCTTATATTTATTTGAAATCTCATTTCTCGCGTTTAGCTTTTCGGATTTCGCATTTCCATATATTTCTTAGATGACAATTAAATTAGAACTGATGAGTTCTAAGAAGCTATTCTCTTCGTCTGATCTGAATGTTTCTGATCTGAATTTATTAAGTTCTGATCTGATCTTATCTGAATTTTTCTGATCTGATCTGAATTTTTTTAATCTGATCTGATCTGAATCTTTCTGATCTGATCTGATCTGAATCTTTATGATCTGATCTGAATATTTCTTTAATTATAATTATAATTATTATAATTATAATTGTAATTACAAATATAATTTAAATATAATTTATAATTATAGTCATAATTCTAAAAATATTTAAAAAAAACCTGGCAGGCAAAAGATATATGTTAAAAATAATGGAACGAAAAAAGAAATATTTGGCAAAAAAATCCATTTGCCTAAATAATGAGGCCAACACAATAACTACTAAACACACATTTTAGTCTGGATTTCGGTCTTCGAGCTCAGAAATATTGGTCATTAACAGTTGAAAGTTACCATAGACCTAAAATAGAGGAGCTTAAAGAGTTAAAGGGAGGAAATTTAAAGTTGAAATTTGCCAACCCTTGCGATGCCATACGTAGTTGAGCACCAAAAAGTCCGAAATATAAATGCAAAAAGGGAATGTTCAATCTGGAATGTTGAAAATATGATCCATTCCGCCAAATTCAATGATTGTTTACAAATCACATTTGATGGTTACGCTTCTATGGCGTGACTTTCTTTTATCGCAATTCCGGTAATTGTTGCAATTTATGTTCCTATTTACTGTTTTTAAAAAGAATAAACTGAGGCATCCAAAGAATAAATAGAAAAATAGTTATTAATGTACATAGAATTCGTCAATGAGCAGCTTAAGTATACAAGAAAAATTGATCATGTTTGACATATATACCATGGCAATAAAATCAGGGAGTACGTCACTGCTTACTAAAGAGTTCCTTACCTTTTGAATGGTAGAGAGATTATTATCCGTCCAAAAATAATGAGTAAAAACTTTTGTTTATTCCAAAATACGATGGTAATGTTTTTATTTCTACAAATAATTACTGTCATTTGGTAATATTTTAAATATGATAATATTTTCCTAATGATAGTCATGTTTTAGAATTTCAAAACGTATTTGCTTCTAATTTTTTCGTATCCATCTTACAAAAGAATGGGTGAGGTAATTTTCACTACTCAACACTTCATGTTGAAGTAGGGGGTGGATGCAGTGGCGGACCCAGAAAAATTGAGTCACGGGGTCCCTATTATAATATAATTCTAATTAATATACAATAAATAAAAAATAAAGTAAAATATTAAAGAAGCATAATGTTTAATAGTTAAAAGTATATCACCAAACATTAACATAGTACACCTCTCAAAACAAAAACATTAACATAGTACTTCGTATAACGCACAAAGTTACCTATAAATTCATTTTACAATTACATATAAATTCATTCTACAACTGAAAAAAGTAATAAAAAGTTAACGGGACTATAAAATTTTAATATCAAAATGTGTATTGTTTTAATAGAAACAAATCCAAGAAAAATATTATTTATAGTTATTTAAGGGGGAAATAATTTAAATACCCCAAAACTTCTGATCAAAAGGTGAGAGATAAACACCCCAAACATGCATATGTAATAAAAATAACCCAAAGTGTATATAAAATTTATCTTAGTACCATCATAATATTCTTTTTTCTTTCATAAATGTATGCTTATAGTGTTAAAATACTTTGGGCAATTATAAGGATGAAATTATTAATCTAAGCTTTAATATATGAAATACATAACAATAACAAACAAGCTTATAATGTTAATTGCACACTAAAATTCTTAGAATATTTAAATTATTTACTCAACGCTGTAATTTTACATTTGTAGAAAAAAAATATGATCATTATGCTAAAATATTTTTTTTTTTTAATTTGGAATATTCATATTAGATATGCAAGTTTAGGGTGTTTACCTCACACCCCTCAAAAGTTCATAGTACTTTAATTAGTTTACCGTTTACCCATTATATACTTAATATTTTATTTAATTGATATATACGGAGTATAAAATATGCAAAATGTATTTTATCGAATGGGAAAAAATGTAATGATTTTTGAAGGGGAAAAAATGTGATGATTTTTTTAAGGGGAAAAAATGGGATGATTTTAGGGATTTTATTAAAACCAAAGCAACATTTTGGTCTTTTAGAAGAATAAGCTCAAACAAATTAAAAAAGAAAAAGCACCAGGGGACTTAAGAGGAATCGAACCCAGAACCTCTCAAAGATGGAAACTTGTTTTATCACCATTACTCCACTCTACCACTTCCGTCTTTTTGCACTTTTGTAGCTTTTGTTGAACATATAATCTGATTGTTTAATTTTATTTAAAATATAGAATATATATAGGTAATATTTTGGAAGTACACGGGGTCCCGGGACCCCGTGGGACCCTTAGTGGGTCCGCCACTGGGTGGATGTATTGCTTAGGAAGTGGATATGTGCCTCCCATAAATTTCAATTTCATGATATATGATAGAATTGAAGCAATTCATTGTTAAATAATAGTTTGACCGGTCGATACTATTAATTTTCTATTTTTGTAAAAAATAGAAGCTCGTAATAAAACTGAGAACCAGATACAAGCTCGTCATATAAAACACTGGGATGAGACTTAGAGCTAGAGTCGCACTTAATAACAACCCAACTCACTACTC